TTACATCCTCACCCATAGTTTACTACCATTACCATTCTCATCATCAACCATGGTTTACTACCGTTACCAGTCTCATCATCATCACCATGGTTTACTACAATTACCAGTTACATCATCACCCATGATTTACTGCCATTACCAGTTACATCATCACCCATGGTTTACTACCATTACCATTCTCATCATCAACCATGGTTTACTACCGTTACCAGTCTCATCATCAACCATGAATTACTACAATTACCAGTCTCATCATCACCAATAGTTTACTAACATTATCAGTCTCATCATCACCCATGGTTCACTACCCTTACCAGTCTCAACTTCAACCATGGTTCACTACAATTACCAGTTACACCATTAACCATGGTTTACTACCATTACCATTTTCATCATCAATCATGGTTTACTGCCGTTACCAGTCTCATCAGCCATGGTTTACTACAATTACCGTTCTCATCATCAGCCATGGTTTACTACAATTACCAGTCTCATCATCACCCATAGTTTACTACCATTACCAGTCTCATCAACCATGGTTTACTACAATTACCAGTTACATCATCACCCATGATTTACTGCCATTACCAGTTACATCATCACCCATGGTTTACTACCATTACCATTCTCATCATCAACCATGGTTTACTACCGTTACCAGTCTCATCATCAACCATGAATTACTACAATTACCAGTCTCATCATCACCAATAGTTTACTAACATTATCAGTCTCATCATCAACCATGGTTTACTACAATTACCAGTTACATCATCACCCATGATTTACTACCATTACCATTCTCATCATCAATCATGGTTTACTGCCGTTACCAGTCTCATCATCACCCATAGTTTACTACCATTACCAGTCTCATCATCAACCATGGTTTACTACCATTACCATTCTCATCATCAGCCATGGTTTACTACAATTACCAGTCTCATCATCACCCATAGTTTACTACCATTACCAGTCTCATCAACCATGGTTTACTACAATTACCAGTTACATCATCAACCATGATTTACTGCCACTACCAGTTACATCATCACCCATGGTTCACTATCCTTACCAGTCTCATCATCAACCATGGTTTACTACAATTACCAGTTACATCATCAACCATAGATTACTACTATCTTCAGGTTACATTGAAGGTGGTAGTTGTCATGCTGGTCCTGTTCGATATGGGAATCATATACATCTTTAAAATACATTGTTTAAATGAACACATGACAGCACCCCGTTAACCACTTGACAATCATCATGGGTCTCATCATTAACCACTGCCAATCAGTGACGGTTGTCTATTCCCAACTACTGCCAAGTTAACCATTGTTCATCTACATCAGTACTTCCATCATCCGGTCTTAACATTATTCATTGTTGACCAGTAAGTTATACACATCCCAAAACTACCAGGTCTCATTAATGTTGGTCACAACCTGCTCACCTTTTGCATGGATAGCTTGCCATTCAAAAGTAAACTTTCACACACCAGATCATGATTTCATGAAAAAAATATAACATTTATTACTAAGGTAACACTATCCTGCCAAGTATGTGAACAATCAAAAACAACTGTTTTCAAAACCTCAAAAGCATATAGTTGACCCCAAATCTACACAAGCCCCAAAATAATAGTTTGACGAAAAAAATAATAAAACAATATTTTTTCATTTGTGACCGATTGTAAAACAACATACAAGCTGGATTGGTAAACTTCTTCATAGTTGTGAGCTCATCTATGTAGCTTAATAAATGAAGAGAAATTTATAAATTATTTTCAGATACTTGGTTGGGTAAGCTATACAAGATACTTTAATAAGTAGTACCATATACTTTGTATTAACCTTTTCCTCTTTTCATCACAAACTCACAAAATAGTTCCGTTTATAGTCTGCACTTTCCTTCAGTAGATTGGAGCAAAAATAGTCAATTTTTTTGAGTAAAAACTGAAAATTGGCTGAAATTTTGTCTGTTGGCTCTAAAATCAGGGTTTATTTTCCAGATATTGAAAAGAATAAGAAGTGCTGAAAAATTTGGTCGAGAAATGGTGGTGGAAAGGGTAAGGGTGACCCCACTTTCACATACGAGCTGAACACACTGATTTATACTTGCATCACGGACATGGTAAACATAAAAAGTTGTTTCTTTCATTATTTTGCAGTATTTTTGTCAGAGTCATTAACGTCACAGCGATCTTTCCTGTGTATGTTGTCTTGGGGGCTAATTGCAAGTGCATGCATGCAAACCAGTCTCACAAAACTAATACTGAACAATTGGAAGGCAAGGCCGACTGTATTTGTCAGCTCCAGGAATTAAACCCACAGCTTCCCTGATTCCATGCGTGTCAAAGGTTTGCATGTGATTGGCTGAGGCAGGTCCAAGATACAGGTCTGGATAGACTAAAAGGGTCTGACGAACGGATGGATACAAACACAAGGTAGGTAACTGGGACTAACAAAGTGGGTAATTTCACTGAAATGATTCCAAATTGTAATAGTATATTATGTTATTTATATTTTAATTGTAACACTGAGCTGGCTAGATTGAGATTCTTAAATGTTATCTGTACACATCCTCATAAGCTGACTAAGCATTGACTTCAGGATGCAATCACCGACAGAAGAGAAAAAAATATCCACTCCAAGCACTGCACTAAATATTGGAAAGAGACTGGTGGTGGTGGTGGTGGTGGGGGGTTTAGATATGACACCATCATTTGCCAACAACTTCCAACCTATAAAACATTACACAGTATGCATGTTAATTCATATTTTTTAACCCAAAAATAATTTCCCTTGATAAATTTATGCAGATTTATTGTATGCAATTTGAAAACTGAAATGACGCCAGACATAGATAGGTGGGAGGGGGGGGGGGCAATTCAAAGTTTATAGCACAAGTCAACTAACGTCAGAAGTTTCCTCCATATTCAATGACATCTGATTTATAAGGTTTTGAACGTTTTAAGTAAAGCTGGATTTAACCTTAGTTGAATTGAATGATTTGTTTGGGCACCCCAAGGAGCTGGACTAATAATCAGGGTTCTCTGTAACAACTTGCAACAATCTCAAATGTAGTTTAATATCACGTCATGGCTTGGCTTAACTGATACACCATGATTTGTTCCATTGTGATGCATCTTAACACTAGACTTAGTGTTACATTTTAACATGGAATTACATCACACATGCAGTCGTTTGATTTTGTTGACCGTGAATACAGGTTTATAATGAGCATTCTACCAAGGTATAATGGCAAGATGACAACCAAATTAATGAAACCTTGGGTGGTGAAGATGATGATTCAATGGCTGCTATAATGAAAACTAAACAAATGCAGACGCATAGACAAGATCCACTGAAAATACCAGGTGACATTTTGTAAATAGCCCACTTCCATGACCCCTAAAGGTATTACATTTTTTTAAAGAGGGGGCGTCGTCACCTGCACATTCGTCAGACGGGCATAGCATGTCGTTGTTTACAAACACGCGTATACCCTATGAAACTTTGCAATTTTGAATTGTTATCGTCGCTTGGTACTCAATTCCCGTGCATGGACAGGTGACGACTCCTCCGCTTTAAGAAGTTAAAACAAGTTGTGAAGTCTAAAAAATTGTGCTGAAATATGAATAAAATGAATTCATTTTTGATTTTCATACCAATAGAAGTAGCAGGATGTGTGACCTTTAAAGGTCATGAAAGTGACCTTCACTAATTCACTAAGACAGCAAGTAGCTATTTCAGAAGCCAAGACAAAACATGGAATGAGAACACAACATATAATAAAGCAGTCTACAACTTTTTAGTATTGAACTAGCAGCATGTGTACCAGTATCCGAGTCTAGAATTTAATTAGTGACAATAAAACAATGAATACATTAATTTATATAATGCTGTTAATTATGGTGTAATGTATTATTAAAAAATAAGATAAAAATACGCAAAATCCCTTCTATAACTATTCACCAAGTTACCCACAATGCCTAGCATGACATCACTGCCCATTTCACCCATATTTAGCTATGACATCACTTTCTATCATGCATGTTAATTTATTTTTTCGTCGAGGGCAGCAAGCTACTAATCATTCACTAGATTACATTCTAATTTAACATGCAATTTATGCTTAAATGTCTATAAAAATACAAAAAAGATATTTTCAACTGGTAGCAGCAATGTGAAAGTATGACATAGATCTAAAAAAAAAAAAATGAAGTAAAACTTGGTGGGTTTTTTGCAAATTTCTATCATGTACCTGTCATTACTATATAGTCTTATTTTCAGCCAAACAGGTTTTGATATTTATTAAAGTATATTACAGCATCTTGGGTCACGTAAACTATACCAGGCATGGTATTGTTCACACTATTACAATGATAACAAACATTTACTGACAGAATACAGCCAATGATAACTGGCAACAATGAAGCAAAAAAACTGAATGGAAATAGTATTCTACACAAAGTCATTTAATTTTGGACTACCTCTTCAAAAACATCCACTGCCATTTCCCAATTTAGGAATATTGTATGCACCAAAAGAAGATATTTTCAGAAACCACCAAATTCTTCCACAATTGCAGAGACATCAAGAAAGTTGGTATTATACATGAATGATAAATGAAACAGACACAGATGATAAACAAGTTGAATCCAAGGCGATAATATAAAGTACTTCAGTCATGACAATTTGGTTCACTTTATGAGCAATCTGGCAATGTTCAAGTTTCCCAAATTAAAACGACTTGAAAACAGAAACAATTCAAATTGTTTTCATAATGATGCAGACAATATATAATGATGTACTACATCGGGAGTTGACAGTGGACGTGTTGCAATGGACTATTTTCCGTTCACTGCAAGATCTTGCATTATGCGTGAAATCGAATGTAAAAACTGGATAAACAAAGGTCATAGGGTTGTAGCGGCGACAAACATCACGTGCGATTCGACAAACATGAAAGTATTTTGGGGGACGCTGTACACATTTGACGATGGGCAATTTCAATGAAGTAACGGTATTCAAGCGTAATATTTCCACTCAAGACCAGCCTTTCGATGTGAACTATGAAAATAAAAAAATTCAAGCTCAAAATCAAATCGTTTGTTTTTTGTGTAGACGTTCGGCGTGCGTCTTTCACACAACTCGCAAGATCTCGCAGTTTATCAGAAATTTACCTATTGCAGACAATGTTTTTATTAAATACAAATGCTACAAACCCTTCCAAGGTAAATAATGACATAGTTACCCTTCATATTTACCCAATGCCAGTAAATAGAATATAAAAACTTGTAGCGCTGGCTTCATCAAAATACTTTTTAGTTACCACAAATGGATAAGACAGTCGTGATGTTTCCACACTAACTTTCTGTGTATAAGCCAGTTTGCTCTTTAAAAAATTGTACAACAAACTATTTTCAATAAAAAATGGAATAAAAAAACTAACGGCCATTTTATTTTTTTTTCAGTAGCAACATCCAACTTATCTGACAGGTATCTCTTTCAGTTATTGGATCGTTTCTAGGTCAGAAGAAAACTAAGGCCGGATAGAAGTATATATAGGTCAAAATGAACTATTTAGGGTTTCGGTTCATTTCTTACACTTTCTGTTGTACACAGAAATGATAAAAACTAATCTACTTCAAAAACATGATAAACTAAAAAAAAAAAACACTTTTAATCAACGAGCTACATATACATATATAATGGAAGGAAATACGACTTCTTTACAAATGGAAGCATAAGAACCCGAATCGTAAGCTTCCGACCACGGTTAGGGTCAAAGGTCAAGAACGGAATGGATGAATTTCTGTACATACATGATTAAGAAAAGAAGTTACACAAATACCCAGTAAGTATATCACCCACACTCCATACTAATCTGCAATGTCTACACCTTGTAATGATGAATGCCATGTGTTCAAAGGTTGCAAACTTTTAAAGTATAAGAAATAGATTTGAGTACATTGAAATGAGTACAAAGTAATTGGACTGGCCATGTGGAGAATTTAACAGCATGTCAATGGCAAGAGCAGTTACACAATAATTATGACAATCAGTTTATCGGAAATGCATTAGTAAAATGAAGCACTGCTATCTCACATCCATCATAACACATGGCAGATTTCACTAACTTTTTTTTTTTACCCTGACCACGTCAATATTTTTTTTATAAAAAAAATTCATAGTTCTGCAAATTTTCTGGCTGATATATTGGAACAAGATCTGTCCTCCACAAGTTCTCTAAAAATAGAAAAGTTTGGTCATACAAGCAATCCTGCCTTCCCTGTTTTGTAGTAAGCTCTTCCTGGTGGATATCCTTAACAGGATTAGTCCATTGTTTCTCAGGGATGACAAGTAAGTAAATGAGATGAAATTCAATTTATTTGCTGGGACTTGCAGTAATAGCTGTCATTGTTGGAACGGTCGTCAAAGTCGGCGTGGACGTGATAGTGGGGCAAGTGCTAATAACGGAGGTATTAGTACCGGAGGCAGCTGCCGCAGCCATTGCTGCAGCTGCATTCACCATTGCCGTTGCAGCAGCAGTCACATGCATACTCTGTGCCGCTGACGTTGCTTGTATGTACTGTGGTGTTGTGATGTGCATACTTTGTGGTGCTGTAGTTGTGTGTATGTTTTGCTGTGGTGCTGTTGTTGTTGTTAAATGTATGTTCTGTGGTAAACTAGTATGCATACTTTGTGGTACTGTAACATGCATACTTTGTGGTGACGCTGCGTGCATATTCTGAGAGACCTGCATTTGCATGTTTTGGGCAGCTGCTGCTGCGGCCACAGCTATTGCATGTGACGGAGGATTTATGCGTTTCTCTTTCTGTCGTCGATTGCAGTACCACACCCGGACAACTTCCTTTTCCATTTGAAGCTGATCAGCCAACATTGCAATTTCTTCCGAGGTAGGTTTAGGATTTGTCATGAAGCTCTTTTCCAAAGCAGCACGGACATTTGTCTCTATGCTTGTACGCTTTTTCCTTCTCCTACCCATGCCATCGGGCGATGTATGCGGACTTCCCAACACTGCAGGGTTAGTCATAGATGAATCTGCATCTTCCAACCACTTTTGTAACAGTGGTTTTAATTTACACATGTTCTTGAAACTCAGATTGAGGGCTTCAAACCTGGAAATTGTTGTCTGACTGAAATCATTGCCATACAGTTTACCCATGGCAAGACCAACATCGCCCTGAAATTAAAATTAGAAATTACATTAGTATACAGGATTGATTTTTTATTCCCTGTACATCCTGTGACTAAAAGCTTGTTCTTCCAATGAAATATAGCATATAACCCTGTCAATAAATGCAAAAACTCTATAATTCCTCAAAGGTGTGGTGACTGGCTACCTGCCTTTACTTCAAAAAACAATATTTCAATTTGTTTATTATTATTTTTGGTATTTATCTGGAACATCAACACCGCAACAGATCGCTCATGGAGTGATGTTTTACCACGCAACACAAATTAAGATTCTATTTAGTGGGTGCTTGGCAACTGGTTGTTATGAATCAGGTCATGATTTAACAGTGTTTTGGTATGAGAGTATGAATTGGGTGTTGGGTCTGAAGTGGTATGCACTTGCAGGTGGATGTACGGAATTTGTCTAGTGCAGGTTGAAGTGACGAATGGATTTGTTTTTGTCACACAAAGTAGGCAATTTGGTGCCGAGTGAGGAGGCAAGTTGGTGCCGAGTGAGGAGGCAATTTGGTGCCGAGTGAGGAGGCAATTTGGTGCCGAGTGAGGAGGCAAGTTGGTGCCGAGTAAGGAGGCAATTTGGTGCCGAGTGAGGAGGCAATTTGGTGCCGAGTAAGGAGGCAATTTGGTGCCGAGTGAGGAGGCAAGTTGGTGCCGAGTAAGGAGGCAATTTGGTGCCGAGTGAGGAGGCAATTTGGTGCCGAGTGAGGAGGCAATTTGGTGCCGAGTGAGGAGGCAATTTGGTGCCGAGTGAGGAGGCAAGTTGGTGCCGAGTAAGGAGGCAATTTGGTGCCGAGTGAGGAGGCAATTTGGTGCCGAGTGAGGAGGCAATTTGGTGCAGAGTGAGGAGGCAATTTGGTGCAGAGTGAGGAGGCAATTTGGTGCCGAGTGAGGAGGCAATTTGATGTCGAGTGAGGAGGCAAGTTGGTGCAGAATAATTTGGCAGTGTAATGTGGGACAGTTGTCCAAATGAGCATGTCCAGCAATTCTACAAACTAGTAGTGACTCGTAATTTTACTATCAACTGGCAAGACATTTATGCTTTGACTTTGTAGGAGTCAGCCAAGTGTATAGAGTATAGGTCTTACAAATTACTTTTGCAGTTTCAAATATTCCTGAAGTTTAGCATTAAAAGTTAGAGAAAAAATGAAAAGGATACAAATTTAAATCTTGTTTTGAGCACTACAAATTAAAAGTGTTTGCAAGCTGCAAGCCATTATGCTAACTGAGATTAAGATGATTAATGCAGCAAATGGTACACTTCTAAAATATACAGACATCAGATATCAACACACCAGCCTTCCATTAACTCCGGACTTCCAACACGCACACCCAGGATTTGATGGACTCATTTTGTTCTAATCAACATTGAAGACCCTCAGTTAACAAGTCATTGAAAATGACACAGTCCCTTTTAAATTTTTGAAAGTGGCGTATACAATATGGCCAAAAATAAAAATGGCCAATATTCGTCCATCTTTGATCTGATTATGAAACACACTGATATGTATGATGTATGTGCCAAATACGATTGAAAATGGTACATAAATTGTGGAAATATAGTAGTAAGGCCAAAAAGTCAGATGGCTGTCAATCAGCCATCCTTGAACAGATTTTGAAACAAATTGTCATGGACATGCATCCTAACATGTATAAAGTACATGCATTTGCCAAATTTGAATGAAAACTGACAGAGCACGTCCAAGATACCACATAAAAAAAAACCAAGATGCCTGCCAGTCGACCATCTTTGATCCAATTGCGAAATAAATCGTCATGGACATGTATCCTAACATGTATAATCTATGTATCAAGTTTGAATGACAAGTGACAAAGCATGTCCAAAATACAACATTTTCAAACAAGCAGCCTATCGGCTGAGATAGCTCCGCTGTTAGCAATGCACATTTCAATTAAAGAACAGAAGATATCATTAGAAAATGAACAATATGCATAGTATCAATGCAATGGGACTTGCTGTTTTCAACAAGAATTCAAAAATATCATTCTTCACCATAAATGATTGTGGTAACAAGAAGAAAATATCACTTTTTACCAAAAATATTCACCAAAATTAGAGAATTAAAGATATCATTACAAAACGAACAAATCTGAGAGAGGTCCACATGTAGTACCTATATATGTAATATCAAAGCAATTGGACTTGCGGTTTTTAACAAGAAGTTGAAAATATCACTTTTTACCAAAAATGACAAAAATATTCACCCAAATTAAAGAATTGAAGATATCATTACAAAATGAACAAATCTGAGAGAGATCAATGGAAATATCACTTTTTACCAACAAGCAGCCTATCGGCTGAGATAGCTCCGCTGTTAGCAATGCACATTTCAATTAAAGAACTGAAGACATCATTAGAAAATGAACAATATGAATAGTATCAAAGCAATCAGACTTACAGTTTTTAACAAGAAGTCGAAAATATCACTTTTTACCAAAAATTACAAAAATATTCACCAAA